GAAGAAGAAGAAGAAGAAGAAGAAGAAGAAGAAGAAGAAGAAGAAGAAGAAGACTAATAGTAAAATTTAATAGAAACAATTTTTTAAAATATAAAAGATTAAAAATAATTATTATTATGATAATGTCTGAAATATATTTTACTTTCAAAAACCAACATTGAAAACATGTTTATTATAAATAATAATAATAATAATAATAATAATAATAATAATAATAATAATAATAATAATAATAATAATAATAATAATAATACATGTAATAATAATAATAATAATAATAATAATAATGATAATAATAATAATAATAATAAAATAATACTGATAATAAACATAGTATAGAAATAATAATGACTAATAATAATAACAATAGGCCTAGTAATGAAAGTAAAAGTAATAATATCAATAATAGTAAAATAGTAAGAAGAAGAGCAATAGTATTCTAGGGAAAAGAACTGTAGAGAGTTAAGACATGATAGAAGAGAAACGACAATGTTCTAAATTATCTACCTACCGATACTTGCCCTGAGTTGTAGCCACGTCTTAAGAGGCACACACAAATTTAAGCCTGGTTCTCACACTCGAATCGTGGGTGGTTGGCGGGTGCTCCGATGAGGCTTGCTCCTTCTTTCTTATCAAACGTAATACTATTATATCCTCCTCCTTTTCTTTGCAGATTACCCTTTGGTCACACCTCTGATCATTGGCAATTGTATGACCTATATTGTGTTGGAAGTGCCGTAAGAGTCTGACTAAATCTAAACCAAACACTTGAAGTACACCAGGATCTCAGGTGACTCCGAGTTGTAAAGATGTCGTGGGCAGTGGTTTTTATACTCGTCTTTTACACAAAGGGGAAGGGAGATGCAGGTAGGTCAACCGGTTATACTATGTTCTTTGCAGGCTGAGTCACTACCTTTGTGGTTGTCCATACCATAGATTTATAATATAATGTATGCTTGACTTGAAACTGTCATGGCCGCCACTCTTTTGTTCTCTATAAACTATAAAAGGAAAAGAAAACTTCGCTGCGCTAGTGAACATCATGGACGCGCTAATGAAGGGCAGGAAAAACACAACATTAAACAAGACACTCAAATCTTGCAATAATCGAGTGCGCAAACAAGTTTTTCTTCTTTGCCTTTATATTGGTTCGAAATAGAGTCAAATGTTGCGTGCCTTGGTGAACTGGAAGTACATCCAGAGTGCTCAGTCTATTTTTTTTTAAAACAAGTCTATGACTCCTGCCAAAAACTGAGTACAGCTGATAGTGGTGAGATGTTGACCAAAGAACTCAGCAAGATTTCGCAATATTCCAGCACACACACACACACACACACACACACACACACACACACACACACACACACACACACACACACACACAGGGACACACACACACACACACAGACTAAATAGGCCTAGAACACCAACATGCGCCTGTGGTGTAGATGTTGGACACTTCGCTGTTGCGCGCACTAGATTCTTGTGCGATTCCCGAGTTGGGGGAATTTATATCGAGTATCTCAGTTTTCCTCCTGGGATCTTGTATTCATAATGGGACTTTAACGTTTGCAACTTGCTCACGGGACCTCCGAGAATTGGTCGCTTTTAAAGATAAACGGGCTAACCCGGTTTTCGAAGGTTTCCAGAAATCTTGACCTACAACAAAAGTGGGCATTGCCCTACCTATGGGAGAAGTTTGGTTTCAGTGGTGTGTATATTTGTTTGGTTATAGACAAAACTATCCTTTGTCTTTTAAAGAAACTGAACAAGGGACCACAAATTTACCTTCGATTTTTATCAAAACAGCATTTTTCGGGATAGCCCCCTTGAAGCGACCAATTGTTTGCCCTTATCCGAGAAGGCGGATATACATTATATTGACCTACAAGACATGGTTCGTCAGACGCCCACCACAAGCAGTTTCGCAACACCAAAGATCGTACATTATTCAGAATCTTTGGCAACACAAAGCTGTGGCGTTTGCTGTTCTGCTTATCAGGCCCAGGGTGTGTTGGGAAGCTCCAAAAATACACTGTGTACTTTGTGTGTGTGTTTCGGGAAGTTGCCTTGTTCTTTCTTTTTTTGGGGGGTGGGGGGGTGGGTGGGGGTGAGGGCTTACCTTATTTTTTTTTAAATAGTTCAAGTAACAGTTTTACGGCACTTGCAACACAAATAGGTCATATGAGTGCCGAAGATTAGAGGTGTTACTACTACTTGAGAGCAACATACAAAGAAAAGAAGGAGGTCAGAAAAGGACGATAGATGTTTGATAGGAAAGAAGAAGTGAACCACCCTGAGCAGGCGCCAACCATCCACATGTGTGTGTGTGTGTGTGTGTGTGTGTGTGTGTGTGTGTGTGTGTGTGTGTGTGTGTGTGTGTGTGTGTGTGTGTGTGTGTGTGTGTGTGTGTGTATTGTATGTTGTGTGTGCGGTGTCCCCACGTGCGATTTTTCGAGTTGTTCTGGGGGCTCTTAAGAGACATATACGTGAGTTTCAGAGCGCAG